CGAAAGGCAGCAGCAAGAAAAGAAAAGTATAGAGGGCATTAACAAATACAGTTTAAAATTTGAATGTGGTTTTGCTGAGCCCCGGTTTTGGCGGTGTTTCCCAACAGGTGTAGTCCCAAGTTATAGCCGATCCCATCTATTAATTAACTCCCATGCCATGATGATTTGTGATGTATATACCGAAAAGGTGTGACATGGCTGTCCCTAAAATGCGCCGCGATGAAGTTCTAGCTAGTCGTATGTCATGAAGCGAAATAGAGAATTGAACTAGCCACGCATGCCCCAATTCGGCTTGAGCGTAGTATTCAAGGCAGCTTGCGTGAAAACTGTGTCGCCTGGCAGACGACTGACTCGTCCAGCGCCGGAACGGAGCGCATTAAGCCCCATGCCCGATATACCGCTGTGCATGCTGCGAACACTGCCCGTTTCACTCATCATCTCGGGGTCCTTGAAGCGACGCGGTGCCGCAAAGTCAAGACCAGTGAAGGTGCCAGATTTGCGTAGCAAATGACTATACAATATTAGTATTGATACGTATGACGAGTTACACAGAATACTTACGGGCTTGGCAGAGCCGGTGTGTCATCGAAAGCGCTGACCAATGGCGAATGAACAGGTGTGTTAACCCTGTATGGAAGTCGCTCACCAAGAGGGCTTTGGGATCGACCGGCTGCCTGGTCTTTGAATGAGGGAGGAGGTGCGAAGTCGATGGCATTCATTAGGGCGAATGAATCATCCTTCAGCTTAGATGGGGTTGGTAATGAATTAAGGGCCATAGGGGGGGGAATGGGCTTCTTGGGTTGACCACCGAAGCGAGGATTCGAAGCAGACGAGCCAGGTCGAGGACTCCTAGGACCCCATCCGCGACCCGACATGGTCGATCCAGCTCTTGGTCTTCCTGGAGAACCGCCATGCATAGGAGGACCTCCGTGAGGGCCCCGAGGGCCAGGAGGACCACGTGGCCCGGGTCCGGGCATCGGACGTCGATTGTTCGGGGGTGGCGTCATAGCACGGCGAGTGACCGGTTGAGCATATGGCATGACGAAGGCATTCGTATCAGGGTCAAAGTAGGCGGCTTCACCCATGTAGCCCGCATCGTAGTCTTCATAGTATCCTCCTTGCTGGTGCTGCGGCATCGGAGGACGGTTTTGGTCGGCCTTGCTGTCATCGAAGTACTCCTTGTAAAATGAACGGATGCGGTTGGCTCGGAATTCAGGATCTTCTGACTCAAGAAAGTCGTCAGGCGGGAGAGGTCGAAGGCCGACAGATAGTCGCCTGCTGTCCTGATCGGGCACACCTAGTCCGGCCGAATGTGGGTGAATTTGCTCATGGTTGGTAGACATATGAAGCTCGTCGTCATCGTGATGCGAGCTGAATCGGTGGTCGTCAAATTGCAAGTGATCAGCATAGCTTTGGTACTCTTCGATAACACTTGGAGCATTGATTACTGGCATTGACTCCTTGCGTGGCGGCCGGACAGCCGTCGGCATACCCTTTACGTCAGATCCCTGGGAGCTAGATGACAGATGGCGATCCATGATGCCCAGACCAGTCGGGTGAATCTGACCGTTAGATTCAACTCTAGGCAGCGCATCTTCCTCGTTAACAATCTCAGCGGTCATAGGCATAGGGGCCGTCTTCACATCCACAGGAGAAGTTTGTGCAGCAGGCTTGCGAGGAGCTGACGTAGCTACAGCTGCAGGCTCTTGAATATCAGGGACTTGGGCGACTCCAGGTCCGTCGTCAACAAATCGGAATTCATTCTTGGCTGGAATTGAAGGCACATCTTCCTGTCGGTCCTGGGAGTGAGAAAGGGGTCGGGCAACGGGGAGTGGTGACTGCAAAGGAGACGTGGCGAGGTCTCTCTGCTGGGAACGAGGGATATCGGCACTCGGGCGCGTTTTGGATGTGTAGATGGACGATGTCCTGGTAGCCGGCCCTCGTTGGAAGGAGCGCAGTGAACCAACATCACTACCAGCATAATCCGCAACAGGTCGATAAGGGTCATCAGCGTGGTGGAGAGTCTTAGTGAGAGAGTTGAATGATTCTCTGGAGTTGTGTAAGTTGGGTGGGAGAAGGTAAGGGCTAGAGAGGTTCATATCCATCGACAGCTGGGTTTTGTGATTCGTATCCTTCTCCTTGCCGAAAAAGGCACTCTTTCTTTTGTTGCCTTTTGGCTGTAACGTCTCCTGCAGTCCAAAATCCATGGATTTAAATTTGCTCGCCGCTTCTTCACGTCTCCGCCTCAACACGCCTTTTCTGGCGAAATATGCCAGTCCAATGATAGCAGCAACTAGAGGAATTCTATAAGTCTGTTAGCCAGCGCGAGGCAAGTGAGAGCTGCTCTTGGGATACTAACACAACGCTAATAACAATTGTAGTAGTGCTGTTATCAGTAGACGGTTTCTCATCCAGATTGTTTTCTCTGGCCACAATTTGTAAGACATTATCTACTGGTTGTAGCGGTTCGGGTGGGCCCAGATCTAGAGCTTCCAGTTGACCTCGCTCGTCCAACTCGAGCTGTGACCGCCGAGAGTGTAAGTGATGGCCATGGCCATGCATGTGTCGATGAATCATCGTTCTCATAACACACGAGATGTTCCGCCCCAACTAAGCAATGGAAGAGACTGATCTAGTCGGGCGCATGAAATCGTTCGAAGCGTGATATAAGCAACGGGTAACAGCGAAGTCCAGGCCAAGATTAAACACTCATACGAGTTCAGTTGACAGTGATCATCAAAGGTCGTTATATGCGGTGGTAAGCAACACAAAAATCACACAATGTTCGATTGATTAGGTTCCAACGCCAATAGTTGACAGGCGGAGTAAATGATGGACTTGGGTGAGTCTCGAAAAAAAGAACGACTTGAAAGTTGGATTGAAAGAATGGCGCGCCCGCTGGCAGGCAGTTGGGCTTGACGGCCTATTGTCGAAGGACTTCTGGACTTCCGAAAGGCGATGTGCCAGAAGAAGAAAGTGAAGGGAAGAAAGGAAAATCGAACAAAACCAAGGAGTAGTAGACGATGCTGCTGCAGGTACCTTGTACCTGAGGCCGAATCCCTTGTTCCGCATGCGCCGGGGGCACATTCAGCAAGTCAGCCAGCAAATGAAAATCAAATGTAGGGGGAAATGAGACAAGGGGGTGTGGAGGCTTGAACGTCCGTGAGCGAATGGATCAGGATCCAAGGACCACACAGGATGAAGAGCACTGTCTACCTAGGTAGACATCCTGGCCTTTCAACCCTTTTACACAGTACAGAACCGCAGTAAGTGCTAAGAGGCATGCCGACCAAGGATCGCCAGGAGAGCCGGGCGCGTGTCCCGCTCTCTTTCGGCACTGTAGGATCTGACCGAACCTCCACCAACAGTCTTGGAGGTTTGCACCGTTGCAAGGGAGCTAATGCAGGAACTCTGCACAATCATACTGTATCTGGACATGGATCATGGATTAGACCTGCTCGGAGATTCCACCTGGGTACTGCCTGGGCTTGTTTCTTGTTTGCAGTACTAGACCTGAATGCGACTAGACGGAGGCCGAAGGTAGCCCCTTTTCTGCACTCTCGGTACAAGTGGCTTATACATTGGAAAAAAGCATATCTGTGTAACTGTTAATTAAAGATCCTCTAATTCCGTCCACGCAGTGCAGTATAAGTACAGGTATCATCTGTACTGGAGGAAGAAGTTAAGTAGGTAGGTATCCCGTTGTGAATTCTTGGTCTTGTATCTCCCTTGGGTAGGTAGTCAGAAAGACACCATGAAGCCGGAGGTTGGGCGCTACTGTCAAACTATCCTAAACATTTAGAGTGGATGACACATTCATAGTGCCTTATCCCTTATCTATCTGTACTAACGAAGACCGTCTGAAACTAGCGAGATGAACTAGACCGATTTCTGGAGTGGGGTTCATCAAGCCACGCTGCCGTGACACGCCCAGTAACTTCTGTACTAACAAGCAACTATCTTCTCCTCAGTAGTTGTAAAATCAAGTCCTAGGACCGGTATTGAGTTATCCTAGCACCTGTGGCGTAATCCTTGCTCAGGCTCGGCTCACCCCGGCCTCAGTCTCAAAGCGCGAGCCAACGACGAAGAAACCTTCACTACGCTTTTGGTGCGCATCGCCAACGAAGTCGCCGTCCTCGAGTTCGTGCGCCAAAACACAACTATTTCCGTGCCTCGCGTCTTCAGCTCCGGTGTCACAGACGAAGGCACTCACTACACAATCATGGAGCGCATTAAAAAACGCAGTTCCGCTATTTGATCTGCAGTACGAGTGTGGGCGGCAGGGCCATAAGGCGCCGTGTAAGGAATGTCTGGGCATCGCCACAGAAAACGCACGCCTGTACGTTCAGCATGCGCAAAATATACTCGCGGGATTCAACAGCCCGGCCTCGGGGTTCAACGGCGTCGTGATCCCTCCACACTTTGTGACGCAGACCGACGACGCGCAACGTGGGGCGTGCAATACGCGCCGCGGAACGAAAAGTTCGTTTTGATACATTGCGATCTGGGACCCGGTAACGTCATGATTGGCTTAACGACACTCGAGTTCAACGCCATCATTGACTGGGAATGCGCCGCTTTTTACTCGAAGTGGCTTGCTGAGAGCTTCTGGACGGTCGATCAGAAGGAGCACTATGGTTTCTAGAACAGGTCGGGGACGTACATTCAGGCTCTAGATGGCAAAGGGCTCTAAGGTTATAACCAACTTTACTTGGATAAGGTCTACACATATAACTTGAAGGCACTAAATACACGTTAAGGCTCTTTGGAATCCATGTGTCGTGGTCGGGACCGTAGAATTGTGGTCGCGCCGTTTCTTTGGCGGGCTTTATTTAAGTTAACCAATTACATTATATAATTCATTTTAGATATTATGAAAGGTTTCCTACATAGATCTGTAATTAATATTTGAAAGTATTAATTGTTCTGTAATCTCTATTGTGTAGGGGATCTCTATGCGTTAGCTATTTATATTATTATTCAATAGGACGGTATGTTGAGGGTGTGTGGTGTAATGGTAGCACACGGGATTCTCATTATCCGCACCCGAAGTTGTCGGTTCGATTCCGACCATGCCCGACCAAGTACACAAAATTCTTTTTTTGGAGGAAGATTTCCTTTTCAGATCCCGATGTCTTCATGATCCTACTAAATCAATTTTAAGCAGAGCGTCATGCGCTTCTCACAATTCCCGCCCTTTTTAGCTAGGTATCTACTGGCAGCTACTTTCGTCGGAAGATTATTACACACATGCACCACTTTCGAAATCAGCATTCACAGCATTCCATCTACCTGCACTTACCAGCCCTAAAAGTGAGGCTTTTGAATGTATGTAATAACAGGATATTGTCATCTGAAGTGGTGTTTTAAAGGCTGAAATTGTAAGTGGGTTGTAAGTAGGTGGTATCAAAATCTCATGCCCGAAAAATCAGGGCGATGCCCTTCCATAGGCCCTGCGGGTCTTGTACTGCAACTCCGTAATGGACTGCAGCGGAGATGTTGGGCTAGATGTAAACCTAGGTGGCTGCTTGGCGGAGAGACAGCTAAGGCACTCAACAAGACCCTGGTGTCTCTGTCGAACAACACCCTTATTTTGTACATTCGATGAAACCGCAACGACTTGCGGGATGACCGATGGGACGCCCATCGACAGCCAGTCGCAGGGCCTGTCGAGGATCCGCGTAGCCATAAGAAGAATGATGCGCGATGAGTAGGTAGGAATAGAGTGAGGGAGAGGGAAATCAGATTTCTTCTTCACATCATCGGACTAGCTAACGAGTGCAATTATTAAAAAAAAAAAAAAAAAAGAATGTTTGCCCGCGAAGCAGCCAGAGGCGAGTAGTGTACTATGACACCCCTGTCAAAGCTCAAGGCATAGAGCCTCAATCAGGAATACTGCCCGTCACGCAGCTCCGTCATCTCAAGGTCTAATAATGAATCTCCGGGGCTTTTCAACTCGACGTCCGCAATACCCACCCGTCAAGTATCCGCACCCCGGCGGCCTGAGCAAATTGCCTTGAGATCTTTCGATCCGGCCTTGAAAAGAAGAAAACAGAAAGACGGGAAGAACAGAGGGAAACGAGACCTTTATAGATAGTAGAATTGGACCGTGCGGATGTGCAAAGTCCCAGATGCAGCAGACTCGTTCCTACCTCTTCAGAATGCAAATCCGTTATGGACCTATATGGGCAGTTTCAAGAAGGAAGGTACACTCTACCTTGGAGTTTTCATGGTCTGCAGCATACAATGCCTATTCTAAACATGCTATTTGAGGTAGAGTGTCAGATAAGCAGTCTAGATTTTTCTCGGGTATACCTAACATATGTCGTTCAATGCGTTCTTACAAGTGGTAGTTCACGATATTCTTTAGGTACTATAATGTCACGGGTGAGATTGCGGAAGGAAGCTCCGTCTTGCATGTCAAGGAGTCTTTTCGTCAATAATCGTGGTTGCTTCTTTGAAACATATCAACGCCATCATTGGAACATATCACACGCCATTTCAAGTTTGAGCACTTGCCAGAAATGATCTGGGTATCAGTGAAGATACCAGTGGGGGTCTGGACTGCTGAAATGTGAAGCCTTACGCCAGCCAAAAATGGCAGTCTAAACCACGGCACATGCGGTCTGGGTGGATAAAGATTTCTTGCAACTCTTGCGTGACTACCTACTTAAACGGGCTGCCATGTCGACCAGCAAACAATACAACACTCTCTAGTGACATAAAACGGATGAAAGCGATCAATGAGCGGCGATTAGTAGGCTAATTTATTGATGTATTTGGGAGAATGAGAACTAAAATGGCTAGGTCCTTGAGCAGCAGAAACCTTGGTAAGGATAAATCCGAACATCGATGCTTCCATATGCGATGGGCTTTAAGGTTTATTGACGGGGGCGAGGGAGCTGCGCAGAAGGGCAGTCTCGTTTGGCTGCCTAGACATCGAAGGTTTCTGGGGCTGCTGGCAGGTACGAAGGGCAGTGTACAACAGGGCCTCCACAACGAGGCAACTTTGCCCAGCCACAGCCTGATCAGAGATACCTAGGTAACTTTTGGGCAGTCAGCCATGCTCACAAGCCACAACTAAGCCTCAAAGTTCAAGCATGGGGGCCAGCCCACAAAGATCGTGATGCTTACAGAAGTACTCGCCTTGCCATGCACTGCATATCTAATCGATCGTTTCTGCTGATATATCCCACCACGATACTTGGCCTCCTTCTCCTTGACGACGCGGGCTCTCTTCTTCGGATTGATATCTGATATGTCGGAGACCGAAACTCCGGGTATGGAGACCTTGGTATCGTCGGCTTCTCGCTTCCGCTTGGTAGGGGTCGTCTTGCGTGGGTAGGCTGGTTTCTCTGGGCGGCAGGGGAGTCAGACTTGGCGATACGCCCTGAGTTGAGCGATGGCGTGTACATGGAGTCGTGCTCTCCTTCCATGTGGTTGCTCCAATGTGCTGCGCGGTAGATCGTCGTGAGGGTGCGGCCTTGGCGGCGGCACTCAGGACATTGGAATGGTTACTGAAGGTGTTTCCTTTGATGTGCTTCTCCTTGTGGTGTATAGTCAGGCAAGAGCGTCTCGAATACGGCTTCTTATCGCAGAGGAGACAAGCCCATGAGACAGTCTTCTTGGCTTTGGGCTCGGCTTTGCTGATGATGTCGGTCATAGTCTATGCCATTGTCGTCGGCACAGGGCCCTCGGGAGTCAAAAGGCTCCATAGCTTGCTGACATATCGGTAGAGCCACAACATTGCCTTCTCTGTACGGTCCTCCTTCTCATCGTCGAAGACAAGCTCCTCTGAGGCCTCTGGGTGGTTTCCAAAGCCTGCCTCGCCAGTCCAGAGTTGCATTAGACTGCCGATATCCACCATGGCATGGTCAGAGTGGTGGTTGGTTGGGCGTGTCGGTGGACTCGCCCTCGGCCCGAAGCCTGTTCGTTTCGGCAAAGCACTTCTCGCGCGCATCTGCGACCAGCAGCACGTAGAGAGCACGGCGTCGTTGATCCAAGGCGCCCCTGGGTTTTGCGATTCCTTCCTTGTCTCCACTGAGCTTGGCCTTTTGGAGTGCCTCTCGGCGGGATTCGATGCTGGCTTTCTGTTCAGGCGTAGCTTCGATGGGGGGGCCGGGAGAGGTTGCGCAAACCTTGAAGAGAGGCTCATTCGATACACCGCCGGCGCAGGCTCCGAATCGCTTGTGTGCAAGGTCTTCTCGCACACGTTCCGTTTGGTACTTATTCGGGCATTTAGAGCAGGGAACAGGAAAAATCAGAACAGATTTCGACAATCACTTCCTAGAAGCTCGGCTCTAGCTCTGTTTGTACTGTAGTCACATCGTCGTCTCCTAACAGGAGCCCTACCTTACCTACACCCGCCCAGGATATATCAAATTTTGAACAGCAGATCCTTAGAAAAGATAATACAATGGATGCTAGGATAATGGAGATTTATATGCGAAAAGACAGGCAATGGATAGAGGTGAAAAAGTGTCAACGCAGCTTGATCATAGATACTATAACGGAAGTACGACGTAATACTCTAAGAAAAGGGCAGTTTCGACGTCAATGAACTAACAGCATTCGGGCGTGAGATTACTTTTACGCGCCTATATATCGCAAAAATTCGTCGTTTGGGGCCTAGACTTCGAGGAGAGCTACTGTAGGAGGTCAGCTTACATATCCTTCTTCCTTAAAGTATTACCATCACTATTCTAATCATGTATGTAGGTATTTGCTTGGAGTTACAGTGTCTGCTCTCGTAGGTTTATCGAACCGGTCATGTCGCTCTCATCGTGATTTGGTCTGATAAAACCCCGACGAGTATTCGAGCAACCAGCTTTTCTCGATCTTGGTGATGTCCCGAATGAAAGTCTTGGTGCTTGTTTCCATGACTTCGTGGAAAATGACCCAATCGGCCTTGCGGTTGAACATCAAAGAGCTGGGATGGGCATATAGAATAGTGCCACCTTCAACGTTTCGGTAACTACCATCGGGTTGCATTCTCGCTGCATGGGCAAAGTAGCCTGCCGTGAGACATTTTCGAACTTGATCCGCTCTTCCCTCGCGGAGCACCTTCAGAGTTTCGTCTACGCTTATACCAAAACGCTCCAGATAGCGCTTTAGTTGCCCGCGTATACTCACAGCCCGAGTCAGCGCTTTGAAGTTCAGGTGGTTCTCATGACAGAATCGGGATTCCTTCTTCCCCTTCGTCACGAATGCTTGGTAAACATTAAGGAGAGTCAGGTGGTCTCCTTCTTCGGCGGCAAATTTCCGCCTAGCAGACTCCATCTGCTTCTTGTCTCCATCTTGCTGAACCCATACAGTACCACCAAGACTCGTCATTGCTGCTACAGTGAGAATCTCGCTTGTACAATCGAAAGAAGGTGCGCTCAATAGTGTCTTCGCCATCATCGGCTCAACAGCCAGCTCCGCCATGCGCATCCCCAGCGGCCGTGTGAGTTTCGAGTATTCGTCAAGCGCCCCCAAAGAATACAGTAATTCGGTTGCTTTGATCATAAGTTCCGCAGGTGGTGGTGTGAGATATTCGAATCGAACGACGTTGTCGATACCAAGTGCTTTGAGCTGAAGAATGAAGGGTGCAAGGTTGGATCTCTGAATTTCCGGTGGATTGATATCGGGAAGAGATTTATATGCATCCTCAGTGAAGAGTCGGAAGCACTTTCCAGGCTTGGTACGGCCAGCCCTACCTGCTCTCTGTGCTGCTGACGCTTTTGATATCGGAGTAACCGTTAAGGACTCTATGCCAGTCCTAGGATCAAAGGCTCTTAGTTTGACAAAACCTGAGTCAATAACGTAGACAATACCATCTATCGTCACGGATGCCTCGGCGATATTGGTGCTAAGGATAACTTTGCGTGTGTTTTCGGGAGGTGCATCGAACACATACATCTGCTGCTCTGTCGTCAGACCCGCATAAAGGGGTAGAGGCAGGAGTGATTGCACACCCGATCGGAGATCGACTGACCGTTCAGCGATAGCCTGAACAGCGGCATCTATCTCTTCCCGGCCGGTGAGAAAAACGAGGATATCCCCATTCGGCTCCGTATTATGGATGTCGAAAACAGTGG